GCTTCGTAACTACGATAAAAATTACTGTGTACAAGGACTTTCCCCGCCCATAGAGTAGAATGCATTGGCGCTGCACTCGGAGAGTATTGAAAACGCTGAATTTTATCTGTTGACTAGAAAAAATTTAAACTGAAACCATGCTTCAGCGGCTTGCTGAGAAACGCCTGCTACGCACGCCTGTATTTCGGACCAGTCGAATGAACTGGGTATGTACACTATGTTTTTATGATTGATGACAGAGTTGACGCTCGGAAACAGTCGCCACGCAAATATTTTCGTATAACATCGCTTTCTCGTATTTCCTTGGTTCACTGTTTTCTGATGGCTTACGCTTCTGTTTTGTAGTTGGCGCAATTCGCGGGCAACGAATAATTAAATTGATGCGCGAATGCATTAGAATATCTATCTTTTGAGCCTTCCAGCCTACACACGAATGCAAAAGGCAAAAATTTGGACAGCTATAAAAGAAAATTTACCTTTTCATGGTAGTATTCGCGTTCAATTTTTTCTATAGGATTACCATCAAGTGTGATAGAGCCGCTAGAAGGCTTGTAAAATTGCTCAAGCAGAGCAACGATAGTTGACTTTCCAGCTCCGCTGGCGCCGACGATTGCTACATTCGTTCCAGATTCAATTTTCAAACTTAGATCCTAAATGTGTTCACCCATGTAACTTCAATATTGATGGAATTAATATTCTCTTGCCTCAAGCACTTTTTCGGAAGGCCGGGAAGGATATGTGAAGTGTACCGAAGTTATCTCGATTGCTCCACAAATTTCAGGTTTCTCTGTCCCTCCTTCTTCCTGTTCCGAAACGTTCTTCATATAAGTCATTATCTAAATATTTTTACTCAGTGATATCATGGTGTGAGTGATGAATTATTACCTTCTTCGTAACACATATAGATTTCTTCACTGACGACGCCGTGTAATATATTTGCTGAAATAGATGCAATGAAGGCAGAAAAATGCTTGGATCAAAAAAGCTGTATTTTCGATTAGATCGATTATCCCTGTTTAAGGGGTGAGTGACTTTTCATACGGTGAGCAATTCCGAGCTGCGAAATATGATGAAGTCTCGCATCTCCGCGTCTAGTA